TTGATACATTGTTGATACATTGTTGATACATTGGTGATACATGCTGACACATGCTGACACATGCTGACACATGTTGATACATGATGATACCATCTGATACCTGCTGATACCATTTGATACCTGCTGATACCATTGGATCTCGTTCCGGATAGGTCACGGCAGAATCTAAAAAGCATTTGCAGCCATCTGAAGTTTTTCGCGTATAGTTGATCCACTGTTCAACGATGAGCCGTCAGCCTGAAACTCCTTCGCAATCACCTGCGCCTGTGGATGCGGTGGTGCCTCAGACTATAGTCGTCGAAGACACTCAAGATGGGAATGCTGCCCAGGCTGTGTACCAGGCTGAGGCTCAACCAGCGAATGAGGTGACTGAGGTGAAGTGTTCGAAGTGTCACTTTGCAATCACTCCGGAGAACATGGTGGCGAAGAGCGTGCGCTCCCAAGTCCTGCTGCGCAAGGGCTGCCACTCCACTTCGGTTATGATGAGCCGTCACTTTGATGAGATGCCGGCGGCCTGGGACAGATTTGATGAGCAGGAGCAAGTAGATTTCTATCGAAAGATCCTTACGAAGAAAAATGAGGGGCCACTTCGCTTCAAGGTCCTGAGGACTGAGCTCAGGGACAGTCTGGTGAAGAAGGTGATGGAGGAAAAGAAGAAAGGCTTCGTTGGAAAGTTCTTGCCATTGGAGTCTTATCGGCTCCAAGGCTTCGATTGCAAAAGAATCGAAGACATGGCCGAACGACAAGAGCACCCAATCCTTGGCGCGACGTTCCGGGTGGACATCCATCACATCTCCCAGGATACGATAGAGCAGGATGTCGAAGAGTCCATCCGGAGTGTCGACAAACGTGTGAAGCGGGAGCGGCTGCCGCAGGAGCCGAAGGCGAAAGCCGCCAAGAAGGGAAAGAAGAAGAATGCAGATGAGAAAGAAAATAATGAAGATGATCCAATTCCTCCAGCTCAGAAAGACCCCATTCTGGTGGACCTCATGGAGATGGATGAAGACAGCGACATCGAGGTGACTTTCCTTACACAGCGAAGAGACCATAAAAGGCATTTGATTGAAATCCCAAAACCATAGAAAAGGTTCGTTCCAACCATTTGGTTCGAGTTTGCGTGTTCTTGTACAGTACATGATGATACCATCTGATACCTGCTGATACCATTTGATACCCGCTGATATCAATTGAAACTTTTAAGTCAAATGATATTGCAACATTGATGATGCTGATTTTTGCTTTCTCAAATGCTGTAACATGATGTTCCTTTTCCCAGTGTACTGCTGGCGCCTAGGTGATGGGGGACAACAAGGGCTTGACAGACAAACAGCGATTGGCCAAGGAGAAGCGGGAACAGGCAAAGCAGGACAAAAAAGACCAGGCAATCCTTATGAAGACATCGAAGGAACTGGTTGCTCTGGCTTCGAAGACCATGGTCAGTGTGGAGCCTGGAGCCTGTCTTGGGCAAAATGCAAAAGTCTCTGCAATCCATCGCGAAATGCAGGGAAGCCATGGACCAGGAACCGGTGAAGGAATTGGAGGAGAAGATCGAGTGGGCAAAAACCATTGTTGAAGAAGCGCAGGGTGTTCTGAAAACAGTGGGGAACAACAAACTCGCGAAGAAGGAGGACTGCGAGACACTCCATGCTTCAGCTGTGAGTCTTGAGGTGAAAAGCTGTAATTCACTGATTAAATCCGTGGCCTTTGCCAAGAAGGCAGTCTCAGCCAAGGGCGGATCCTGATACAGTAGGCTATTTTACGGTTGAACAAAGTCGTTTGGCAAAGTGGTTTGGTAAAGTGTAAATAGGAACTAGCACAAAGGAATAATGTGCAGAAAGAGTGATTCAGCCTACTGGGACTTTTGTCCGTTAGTTTGCATCGAGCCTGCCAATTTTAAGGTTTGCGTTCGATATTCAAATTCACTTCTTAGATCAAAGCGCGGTTTGGTTCACCAAGTTTCACCGCGCAAGAGTTGCAACATCCAGGGGTCTGAGCAAAAATTTGTTCAAATCTTGGGGTTTGGTGCAAGGTACGCCCTTGTGGTTTACACAAACTACCCAGACATGGTGGTGATCCACTTGTCTGGGACCCCCCCTCCGGCCTTCAGGTGTTGCTTACACAAGTTTTCCACGTATATATTATATATATCTTGATATTATTGTTGAAATGCTGTTCCGTAAAGCTTCAAACCTTTTTCGTGTAGTAGGTTCACGGAACAGCAATCATAAACAAACACAACACTCACCAACGTAAAACAAAACGCACAAAGTACGTTCTGAACACTAGCCGGATGGACCACCATCCAACAACTTACCGACACCGACACCTGTATATAGAATTGGATAGAGTTGCGCAGGATGGACCACCATGCCACACAACCCAAAACACTCACATATCCACCCCGTTGAGATTTGCTTCAACTGTATTAAGCTGTAGGTTTTTGAGTGTTTACCGCGTAAGAACAAGGTGTCAAACCTTTATGGAGGGGCTACACTTCCATTTGCGACCAAACTTTCATATTCAATGTTGTCCACCGCAACTTCAAGGCGCTGGCCATGATCAAACACTAATTGTATAGCAAGTGTACATGTGAAATTTGTTGCTAGTGAAACAAGCATTTGCAGTTCATGGGACAACAACATTACATGCAAACAAACATAAGGTTTGAAGAGCATAGGCTGATGTCCAGCATTAAAAAAACCGTCATGTCTGAGCCGCCATGCAAGAAACAATGCCTTTCAAGGTCCCTGGCTCACGCCAGTGCACAGACTGTGTTCAAGCTCCAGCAGCTGGCACTTGGGAAGCTAAACAGTTCTGATTCGAAGCCTTCTGGCGCCTTTCGAAGAAAGGTTGAAAAAATGTTGGAGCCCGCAAAGAACTGCTACACTCAGGTTTCTATGTTCGATGCGAATGGAAAATCAGTTTCCTTTAGCGTTGCAAATCTAGAGGCGCTGATGAACTACATGGCAGAGCACAGTGCTACATATCGTGATGCTTTATCCTCCATAGACAGCCAGCAATTATCCTTTCTGTGGTACGCTGATGAAACCACCGGCGGCAATGTTTTAGCGACTTCGGCGGCCAAGTCCTCGACTTTGTTTTATATTGCGGCTTACGAAGTGCAGCACCTAAATTCAGCAGAAGCCTGGCTCCCAATTGCCTTGGTCACAGCCCGGGATCTCCGGCTGATACCTGGTGGCCTTTCTGCTGTGTGTGCCAAGCTAGTTGGCCACTTTTCTACATGGCATTTTGGAGGTTTGCGCGTGGTGGGGAGACATTTTCGAGTCTCCTTCAAGGCTTTTGTCGGGGACTACGACGCAGTGGAGAAGTTGCTGGCCGCCAAGGGCACAGCGGCGCTCAAGCCCTGTTGTCTTTGTATGAATTGCGTTTCAAGGCAATCTGATGTTCCTGCCCAAGACAGTTACTTCCAATCCATCACCTGCACCAAGTTCCATCAGTTTCGGCTATACAAACAACACGAGCTCAATGAATCCTATGACCGTTTGCTGGCAGAGGCTCCAGGGCTGAACAAAGGCGACCGGGATGAACAAGAGCGAATATTTGGTTTCTATCTTGACAGCAACACCGTAATGGCATCTGCTAGCGCCAGGAACTTTTTTACTTTGGACAAGATTGTCCTGGATTCAATGCACATATATTTCGCCAACGGAGTTTGCGCACAGGAGCTTGTATTGTTGCAGCAGGCATTGCAAACACGTCTTGGAATCAATTTGGAACAGTTGTGCCAAAGCATCCAGGAAGTGGAATGGGTATGCCAATCTTCCAATTTTCGATCAGCGTCGGCTCGTAAATACTTGTTTCACCCACCGTTGTGGAGTGGCAGTATGTACAAGGGAAATGGCTCAGCAGTCTGGTTTCTAGTTCCACTGGTTGGTTTCTATGCCAGCAAGCTGTCATCGATTGAGAGCTTGCCTGAACTTGAAAGTTTTTACCGTTTGCTCGAGGTCGTGCAGCTTTTGAAGCAGATTCGCCGTGGAGCGGAGGTATCTTCGAGTTTTCTCCAGGCACAGGAAAAGCACTTTGAAGCGTTCCTTAAGTGCTACTCGGAAGAAGAAACGCGGCCAAAACATCACCTGGCTTTGCACCTTAGCAGACGCTACCGTTTGTGTTGCTATGTGGATTGCTGGCCAACAGAGGCCAGACATCGGATGTACAAACATCAACTATGTGATGATTTGCAAGGGTCACTCAAGGAGAGACGCGGTGAGTTCTCAGCTGCTGTCTTGCGCCGGTTGTTGCGCAGGTGTGCTGAATTACAAAGTGACCGTTGGTCACAGAAACTTGCTGGCAAATGCTTTGAGCGCGAGGTTGTAGAGCATGCTGCTGGCACCAAAGGTCGGCTTTCCACCCGCTATGAGCATGGTAGCCTTGCCTTGAGCCAGAATGAAGTTCTTTTTGTCGGAGACACATCTGCCGGCTGGATTCACTTTTTTGTTGAAGATGAGGGCGAGTTCTTCGTCTTCGTGGAAAGATTGCAGGAAATATCGGCCACAGTACGAAATACCCGAGTGTTTCGCAAAACAAATGAGACCAAAGCCATCCAGATCCACAAGAGTTGCCTTTTGTGGCAGCCTGCCTGGTGGACGGTGCAAGACCCGGAGGTACTTTGCCTGCTGTGAAAAAGGCTTTTGCTTTGCAATCCGCGCGCTTTAACGTTTGTAAAAACGGTAAAACGTATCTATATCTTTCACTGGGGGTGGTGGTCCACCCACAGTGAAAGATATAGATACCTGATTGTCCGGTCACAGTCAAACCAAGATTTTTGGTTGTGGGGTTTATGTTACAATCGATGTGATTGAATTTGAAGAGTTTTGCAGCACTGCTTCAAAAAATAATCCCCGCACTACTTTTTTAAGTTACCGAACTTATTAACTTAGTTATAAATAACTTGTATCTAAGTTGTTTATGGCCAGGATAACTTCATAATAACTTAGTTTTAACTTCTTTATATATCACAACTTAACTTACAAGTATTGTAACTATAGGGGGCGCTCATTGTATCGTGGAACCCACCTTTGCAGTTTGGCCTGCGAGGGGTCCTCGGCGATAGAGTGTGCCTGGACAGAGGGACATAGACGCGGACTCGTCGGTGAGGAACGCATCATCATCACCACGGGGTTCATGCAAGAGATCACGTATGGTAAATCTGGGAGGTACCCAAAAAGTCGACTCTTTGGGTACCTGCTTTGGTGGTGATGGGTCTCAACTCTTGGGCAATGATATCTTTTATGGGGTGAAGGGTTCAGCATCACGGGGTTCATGCAAGAGATGACGTCCGATGGTAAATCTGGGAGGTAATCAAAAAGTCGACTTTTTGGGTACCTGCTTTGGTGGTGATGGGTTCGGTCACCGGGAGAAACCGATCGATTCAGCACAAGGCCGGGCGCGGAGTCGACTTTTTGGGTACCTGCCTTGGTGGTAATGGGTTGGGTCGCCGGGAGAAACCGATCGATTCAGCACAAGTCCGGGCGCCGATACGTGTGGCATTTGAATGTACCCTAGACCATGGGCAGCGCCCTGCGGCCCCACAGGCCGCAGAACCCAACGCGTCACGGGGTTCATGCAAGAGCTGACGTCCGATGGTAAATCTGGGAGGTACCCAAAAAGTCGACTTTTTGGGTACCTGCTTTGGTGGTGCTGGGTTGGGTCTAAACTCTTGGGCAATGATATCCTGAATGGGGACGAGGGTTCAGCATTA